TATTGGCTATGTTTAGCTCTGATTTAGTCTAGCTACATGTAACCCAAATCTAGCCGATTTCATTTTGAAATTGATTAAATGTAATTTTCGCCATTGCAGATGGCTTGCGGTATGATATTCAATCACGTATGAAGAGTCAACAGTAATTAAAATATGTTTATCTCCATTTTTTGGACATGGTCTCTACATAGCCGTATAATTGATGACGTCTACACGTGATTTAGCCTAGACGTCAGGTCTTCATGTAGAAAGCTATTAGACGTTTTTTAAACCAGAAAATGCTTGCTGGGTGGTGTCGACCATCACATCCAAATCTTGGCAAGAGGTCAGAAAAGCAAATTTCCCTGAATGTGAAAGTGGAATTAAGGTTTTAGGTTTCAGTGCATTGTGTGTTTGCATACTTCCGTATCATTATTAAGGTTCCACAGGTCCAGGCGTCCAGCTAGATCCACACAAGCAAACAGAGCAGGGTGTGTCGGAGACCACATGGCATCATAGACATAATCACAACTGTCCTCAAACGAGTACAATGGACGGGTACTCTGTACAGAAGAACAAAGGGAAAAATTGACTCATTTTAAGAAAAAACTAATTGTTCAATAGCTTGTGTGTGACTGTAAATGTCTCACCTTTGTGCTCCAGAGTTTGACGGTCCAGTCAAAAGACGAGGAGATGAAGAGGTGAGAGAAGTCAACAGGTCCTCCAGCACTGTGACAGCTCAGCCCAGTCACAGGACCATGATGGCCCTCAAACACCTCAGTGATACCCGCCTTACTGTAACACACGCATAAAAACAACTGTGAGGACTTCAACTAATTACCACCTTTCCTCCCTGGTTATAAAACAAACAATCTGCCCATAGGAAGACACTTGTTGCTACTGAGGACAGAGGTCACAGATCACACACCTCCCATGGCGACAGGCTGTGTAGACCGAGCCGTCCTCACTCCCCACCACAAAGTTGTTGACATCCCCCAGAGGAAAGGCCATGGAGGTGACTGCCACCGCTTTGCTCTGTTTGAACACCAGCTCCAGACTGTCCTGCAGGGAAAACAACATGCGGCCTCAGACTCCACCATCTGATATTTATGACAGCATGTCTGTGCATCATCCATTCAAGTTCAATGTACCTGCGGCTGGGAGAGCATGTCGAGGCTCCAAGAGCACATTTTGCCATCAGTGGAAATGCTGATGAGGTTGTGAGCATTTTGGGTTCCCACCACATTCACACAGTAGACTGGGTGCTGAACACAGAAGAGCACAAACAGAGGAGTTAGACAACATGCACTTACCAGGAGAAGTCAGCCAGATGTAACCGTGCAGAAAAATTGAGTCAATCATGTTATAAGAACTTAAATTAAGGGTGCTTTCAGACGTAGAGTTGTCTTGCTTTGGACTAAGGGACTTGCTCAGGGACTAAGTTTGTTACAAAATTTCAAAATATAGCCTAGAGTTGGTTTGTGTTCTCACGGCAGCATTTACAAGCGGACCAGGTAAAATGCTTTGCGCAAGAAAGCTGGTCTTGACTGGTCAGAATTTCCATGCAGGAAAAATCCAGGAAGTAAACAAAACGTTGAAGAAGAGTACACTACACAACAACGTGTAATGCGTCTGCAGTTGGTTCAGATCAAGGTCGGAACAGGTTCTCACCACAAGTGAACTGCACGAGAGTTCATTTGTAAACGAACCGAGACCACCTCTTCAAGAAGGTCTCAGTCCGGTTGTTTTGGTGCACACCCGAGTGCGATTGCTGTGTTCACACCTGCCCAAACAGACCTCACTTAGGGGGCACTTGAGCTCGACTAAACCGAACCAAACAGGGCAGGTGTGAAAGCACCCTAAGTGAGTGTGTGTAGTCATAAAGGTGTATGAGCTCCAGTGCATTACTGTGTGTGCAGCTGCAGACAGGGGAGTTCTCTGAACAGGGGTGCGCTTGTTGCTCCTGTTGTCCCATAAGACAATCTGTCCGGAGTACGTCCCACCCACCACCAGGTTGGGGTGGAACTTTGCAAATCCGGCTGACATCACCATAGACTGGAGGAAGAAAATGTTACAATAAAATATATCTGCTTCTGCCTGAGCATTTGCTTGAAATAAACAATGTTAATTCTCTTAAAGATCATGCCTTTATGTCTGAGGTTTGTAGCGTAATTGCATGTGAACTGTTTCTTTACCTGGCAGTGGAAGATGTACTCTGGTGTGGCCTTCTTGTACTTCATGTTCCAGACCAGTGCCACGCCATCAGGCTCATGGGGAGCATCCTCGTTGTTGTTATACGAGGCCACCAGCAGCTCTGGATACTGAAAGGAACAGAGCAGCCGTTATTTAATGCAGAGAAAAGCAAGGAAGGAATCATTTAAGAGTCACAAATAAATCAACACAGTAATCACAGAGGATTTCCAGTCTGTTCTGACTGAAACCCGACCAAGGGTGCTTTTTTGTTAGCGTAATATGAAGATTTTTCTCCTCACCTGAGGGGACCAGTCGAGACAGGTGACCACTCTGTTTTTAGTCCAGCGCTCATCTGCAAACTGTCTGTTCAGAACCAGCTTTGCACCTGCCTGCAAGTCACTGGGAGGAACCAAACAAAACAGATTATCACCCCAGCCTATACATCTGTTTGTCATTATGCAAGTTTTTTTTTCATGTGCCTCACCCCTCCTTATCCTCTAGATCTCTGCCGCTGTAATCGAAGCAGACGTCCACATGTTCAGCAAGAGCTCTCTCCACAATTCTGCTGCCTCGCTCGAAAAACGACAGGAACTCCTCGGAGTGCAAGACCTGCAGTTTCTCTTCTTCTGTCAGCTCTTTGGGAATATCTATACGCAGAGAATTTAATACAGAGATAAGGAAAAATACTAGAAAAGATCTTTCTTACTGGTAACATATTGCAGGATAGATAGAAATTAGTGTGGTAAGAGTAAAAATGTAGTAAAAGCCTAACAGTCGAGACTTTTCCCACTATTGATCAGCATTATTAAAGCACAGTGAATTGCCTGCCAGAGTTATTGGTATCCAAAAATCAAAGGCCATTAACAGCCAGCTCACACAAACGTCTGTCCTTACCCTCCTCCTGCTGTTCGCCATGTTCATCTTTCTCCTCCTGGGCATCCTCGGCTGGTGGATCAGTTATCTCCTCATCCTCTTCCTCATCTGGAACACACACACACACACACACACACACACAGTACAAAGTTAATTTTTGTTCGATTTTAAGCAAAAGTAAAAAGTTGGGGAAACAGGTCTAAGTTTGAGGGTTTCTACAGCTTATGGAAAATTGGATTTAAGACTTTTTAATGCCAGTTGGAATTCAAGTTTTCAACTTGTATTTCTCAACCTGCATGTAGGATTCCACGGTCTTGATTACCATTATGCCGAGTTTGAAAATCTTTTGCATAAATTCACCAAAGTTGGTATGAATTGCCTTGTACTGGTATGAGTCATGCTGAGAAATCTTGGTTAAATGGCCAATTTTTGTCGACTTTGCACTCCGCCATGTCGTCCAGGGTACAGCGACAGTTAGCTAGCAGACAGTGGGTCCTCTGCTCAAAGCATCCAGGCAGAAAACAAAATATGAGTGTTGTTACTTTTGCTTTTTTGATCTGTGTGATGTTAGGGGGCCTTCAGTAAATTATTTAAAAGAAACAGATGTTACCTTTTATTTTGAGATTTTATCATGCAACATCAGAAAAAATCCCAACTCAAAATCCTATCTTAGCTGTTTTAAGACTTTCGAAAGACTGATTTGAGTCTTTTTAAGGCCTTATTTTTGGATAAATGAATTAAATGTCAAGTTTTTAAGGAACCCTGATGTTTATTTACCTGGTTTCTGATCGGTGTGTGTCACTGCCTCAGTGGGTGTCTGTGTTTCTTTGGAGTAGGACACCATTTCCTTTGGGACAAAGTCCACCTGGGTCATTTTGGACATGCCCAGCCTCACCGCTCCACGTCTACACACACACACACGTGCACGCCATCATTGAATTAAGCACACACATAAACAGGTTTGCAATACGAAGCAGACGTAAATGCAATTTTTACATGTAGAGACATAAATATTGATGTACAGACATAATATAACACATTTAGACAAATCTAAGATGAAACCACAAAAACTGAAAAAAGCTGGAAGACAAGCTAAAGGAGAGAGGAGGAGCAGTACCCCATCATCTCAGAGTCGGAGTGGAGTTGCAGAGTAGAGGGGTCAGGATCCCAATGCAATGTCCTAATACAGCCAAACCACCGGATGGTGTTAGTTAGAGAAAGACAGGACAGAAAGGAAAAACAAGAGGATGAAACCCAACGCAAGAGACAGGCAAAAGGTAAGCCAGTTAAGAGATGGGAAAAGACAGCAAACAGAGAGGAAGAAAGACAGAGAGAGAAGAAGAACGTAGTGCGTGTTAATTGAGAAACGTCAGCGTGCCGGTGAAAAGGCAAAGAGGAGACAGGTCAGAGTTCATCAAGTATATTTACCATGTTAATACACACACAAACACTGGGCATGCAGGTACAACCCAACATTATATAAACATGATCTCAACAACCAATCCCCATCTCTCCCTCTGTCTCACACACACACAGACCTTGGTCCTGCGTTTCCATCCCCAGAATCTTGGCTTCCTGCATCGCTGCCCACTGATTTGTTGGAGGGAGACATGGGGGCGGGGACTAGGTAGTGAAACAGACACGTATCCTCTGTTACTACCCTCAGGGGCTGAGCTGTGAGTGCGTGTTTGTAAGTGCGCAAGTCAATGAATGGGTGAGTGAGTGAGTGAGTGAGTGAGGGGGAGAGTGAGTGAGTGAGGGAGGGAGTGAGATATGGCAGAAGTGTGTGAATGAGTGAGTGAATGAGTTTGCATGCAGTGGGGAAGACAAAACACAAGAGGACAGACAGAGGGGAGAGAAGAGAGAATGAAAATAAATGGCAGGCAGGTTTCAGGTGTCATGCACAACACAGTTAACAACATGTAAAATGTTCAGATATCATATGAGGTGGGGAGGGGGGAGGGGGACGGTAACCAAGCCAGGCCACAAAGTTAGAGGTGACTTATATAAAACAATTCAAGCAAACAACCAGAAAACGATGAGAGATAAGTGAAGGTGAGAGATAATAATAGGAGCATGCAATCGATGCATGTTTACCATGGGGTATGTCAGGGGTGATGCCGACACTCTGCAGCAGCGCCTCCGCCTCCCTCCTCTTCCTCTCCAGGTCAGAGTCTTCATGGCCACCTGAGGACCCACCGCCCGCCTCGGCTCCACGCTTTGAGTCTCCCTGTAGAGCAGAGAACAAGCTAAAAACAAAGCAGCAGCCCGGCAGGTTCTTCCATGATACGTGAAATTCAATATGTTTAAGTTCTTGTTTCAGTCACTTACATCCTTCTTTTTCTTCTCCTCTTCTTTTCTCTTCTTCTCCTCTCGAATCTGGGCGATCCGTTGCTTCTTCCTCTCCAATTCAGCCTTCAGCTCACTCTTGTCAGACATACTGTAGGAGGAAGAGAAGATCTTACAGCACAATGAAGACATTATCTAATACTTCACTCCTTGCTCTTATTTTTTCTCTTTGACTCATATAAGCTGCCCTGATCAGGACCCTCAACTATACATCTGAATGTAAATACTAGGCTTACAGCATCCTCAGTAGAGCTGTAGCTATTACATATTACTTTTATTATCGGTTAATCTGCCTATTATTTTCTAATTGATGAATCATTTGGTCTAAAAGGTCAGTTTTGTCCAACCAACACTAAAAAACCCAAAGATATTTTACTTCCAATGATACAAAAAGGACAAAAACAACAGAATCTAGAAGCTTGAACCATCAAATGCTCATCAAAACATTAATTTTTTTTTGTTGTTTTACCCAACAAAACTGAAATATATTCATGGACAAGAAGTCACAACAAGTTCTCAGCTCGTACCATCAACTGTTTGGCATTTTTGTTTGAAAACAAATACAATAAAACAACTGAATTATCAATTATCAAAATAGCAGCCATTTAATTTTTCAGTCAAACAACCAATCTATTAATCAACTAATCATTTCAGCCCTTGCAACCTTGCAATTAAGACAGACCAAGGGGAGGAAGATAATATCGTAAATTTCCCTCAATGGGCTTATCCCTGGAGTACTATATAATAAAAATTAATATTATCATCATCATCATACATACAAACCCACCAACCCTGGGCCATGGTGGTCTAATTGCAGATGCTCAAAAACAATACAACAGAATAATTAGTTCATAAGTTGATGAGTTAATTGACAGAAAATAAATCAACAATTTTGATTATCAATTTACATTTTTCTAGCAAAAAACACCAAACTGATTTTCTGCTTTTCAAACATGGTAGCAAACTAAATATATTTGACTTTTGGACTGTTGTATAAAACAAAATAAGCTGCTCAAAAACAGTTTAAAAAGGGTGTGCTGTGCTGAGTAACAAAGATACAGTGTATTTAACAACTGAAAGGTAATACGTTTTAAGATTAACACCAGGAAATTCACCTTTTCCAGCATGCAAACTCCACATATCATTCCTACTGGATCCTGACTGTGATGTCTGACCCAGTAGCTATGCAGCATTAATACCACTGTAGCCCAGGGCCTGTCATACTGGTGGCATGTGAACACCAGCCAGCTGTTGATAACAATGTCCTCTTTATCTGCCTTTTTTCCATAACGACACAGCTAACTTTGAATGACTGAGAGTGTGTACTATTCCAAATATAAACTATTAGGCTCGGTTATAATTACAAATAAATACTCTCAGTTAATTAATTTGGCTGTTATACGTTATATTAAAAGTCTGAGCGAGCTGTAGTCATGTCATTATATACACACGGTAGCTACAAACTAGTCATATTAATGTCCTAATCCTATTAGATTTGTGTCGTGAATGTCCAGATCAGCTGGATGCTCCAACACCTCTCCAACCGCTGTCAGACTACCTGCAGATAAATACAAAAACTAGCTATTGTTTCCGTTTCACCTTCACCTTTGTTCTTATATAGTGAACCCCTCATCCTATGGAGGTTTTCTACCGGGTCAAAGATTTGTTTAAACATTTCTATAATCTAATTAACGGCTACAAAGTCAGCACGGACAGCTATCCTGGCTGTTAGCATGCTAATCTCCATGGCACCCGGCCGGCGGGCCTAGCTGCTGTCACAATAAGCGACTAACGGTAACGGTAACTGGAGCATCGCAAACCAACGCCCGAGCCTCTCTTCTTCACTTTCCCGTTTACTGACACGAATAAAAACAACACAGTCATGAAGGCAGAATAAAATACCTGATATCCGGTGATATATATGAGTCGAAGGAGGGAAATAGAGTCCAGTTTTGTGTGGGTTTAGGTTGAAGAGGAGGGATGGTGGAGACTGATGATGCTGGAAGAGACACAGTAGTTTACTCCGCCGCGGTCTTCTTCTTCGGCGGTTGGGCACAGTGGTTGAAGTAGAGTATCATCGCCCCCTATTGGCAGAACATTATATTGCCCTGGAGAAATAGTCAATATAAATGAGAAAAGTATTTATATCTTCAGTAAATACAGGAATACTACAGTACAGCATTACAAAACAATACAGTAAAATGCTCTAGATTATTTTATTATATGTATTTGTAGTCTAAAAAACTCTTCTCTATAAATGGTGCTGTGGATGGTGATGCACCGACTGTTGCAACAAGCACCAGTCGTAGAGATTGTTTTCTTGAGGAGGTTGAAGGGTTTCAATATGGACAGATTGCTTTAAATATGCTCTAGTCTATAATCTCCCCAGATGCCGCTTCTTTAGATACATTTGTGACCAGAAATCTCTTCATATTAATGCCATAATATCACCAGTGATCGCACTTGGGTGGAGTCCCCGTAGAGAGAGCAGGCCCTTGCAAATGATTCAGATTGCCACTTTGGAAATACACCAATCAGCCAAAAGATTAAAACCACTAAAGTAAATAACATTGATCATCTTGTTACAATGCAATATTCTGCTGGGAAACTTGGGGTCCTAGCGTTCATGTGGATGCCATTTGACATGCACTACCCACCCAAACACCACTGCGGATCAAGCAAACTCCCTCATGGCAACATCACTCCCCAATGGCAGTAGCCAAAGAGCTTAAGGCCTTGACCTGGCCTACAAATTCCCCAGATCCAAATCTGATCAAGCATCCTTGGGACATGCTGGTACGTTATCTCGCAACCCACAGGACTCAAAGGATCTGCCATTACGACACTGGAACCAGACACAATGGGGCATCCCTAGACTTTCTGTGTCCATACCTTGACATGTCAGAGCTATGTCCAATCTGTAGAGGCCCCACTGTGGATGGGTGGTACATCTGGGGTATTGGCATGTCCCACAGATGCTCAGTCAGATTGGGAATTGGGGAGTTTGGCAGCCAGGTCAATGTCTTGAGCTCTTTGTCATGTTTCTTGGGTCATTCCTGAGCAGTTTTTGTGGTGTGACGTGGGGGGGCCACTGCCATCTGGGAGTGTTCGGGCGAGTGGAGCGCGTCAATAAGTATCCACATATATGCCAGCATCCAAGGCTTCCCTGCAGAACACTGCATTTTAGCAAGATAATCAATGTTATTCATTTCACCTGTCAGTGGTTTTAATGTTTTGGCTGATCAGTGTATACCTGTGTTCAAAGTATTTTTTAAAAAATTAATATTTTTAATTCTAAAACTGTGCCATTTGCTATATATATGTCCTCAAAAAGGCAAGCCCATCTGCATCATGGCTTTCATTTTAATCTTTATTTTTTCAAATAGTCAGTAGCTATCTAAAACAAAATTATATGCTTTTTCTACATATGTTGTAAAATTTATAAATATATTCTAAAAACTATGCAGTTAAATGACTAATTTTATTATCTTATTTGGTATTTTTGTCAGATACGCAATTCACATTGTTGGGTAAAGTGTTGATGATGTCCAATGTCAAGTTTCTGTTTGTGTCAAGACAATACATAGACGATAGCGTGTACTGGGGCCCGTCGTAGCTTCCTATGCCACTGTGTGGAACTATAAAAGGAAGATATCATACTAGATTGTTACAAAATAAAATTCTGCACTGCTTGCAAATCGCTCCCAGTAAAAGACATAAAATAACTCCCCAAGTTTCACTTCTGTGTCTAAAATGTGAAATCTCAATAGGAACTTACACTCATTGTGCCCAGCTCTGTCCTGAAATTCAAGCATAGCGGGTAGACATTCTGTAGGATATAGAATAACACAGAATAACACACTAAAGTGAAATATAAAACCACACATATTTATTACCATTAGTCAACAAATTTTTACTCTTCTTTAATTGTTTTTATTCCATACAAAAGTTTTTGTGCATTCTTATGAACAGCATACAAATCGGTCAGAGTGTGAGTTTGTCATGTGGAAAAACAGTGATCATACTGTAACATCATTGTCAACATGTCTGTCTGTACAACATCTGATGATTTGCATGATTTGAACTTTATCCTGTTATTTCTCAAGCGCTTTGTTTTTACTGTGGAGTTGGGTTGGCATAACGAAAGGGGTCATAAAGGTCCCGTTTAAAATCATAAGGGTCATAGTAAGGGTGGAGGGGTTTCTTGGAGGCTGGTGTTGCAGGGACAATTTCCTCAACAATTGCTACTTCTTCTTTCTCCACTTTCTCCTCAGCAGGTGCCTCTGGTGCTGATGTTTCCTGGATGGGGCGGGGAGGGTGATCGATGAGGCAGTCAGGGTCCCAGTATGGGTCACAGTCGTACTCCATTGCTTTAGGAGCAGGAGGGGGAGGTGGGGCAGATTTTTTGGGAGCAGGAGGAGCTGGAGGTGGTTGGGGAGGAGCAGCGGCTTTTATCTCCGCCTCTGTTTTGGGCATGCAGGTGGGGTTGACTCGTGGATCACACAGTACTGGAACAGCCCCTGTTGGCAGGTAGACGATCTTAGGTTTGCACAGTGGGTCTCTGGGGTTACACAGATAGAACCTTGGCGCGTTCTCCAGAGGGTCTGGTGTAGGAGCAGGGGTGGTGGGGGGCTGCGTGGTTGTAGTTGGTGCTGCAGTGCTTGTGAGCACACCCATGACACTTTGGTAACTGGAGGCATCTGGGCCATAGGTCAGCTCCAAATGACGCATCTGCTGATACAACATCCTGATCCTGTCGATCTCATAGAGCTGATTTAGAAACACAGAAACAGAGAGGAAATGAAAAACATTTTTTTGCTGATTAGTGTAATCCAAGAAAATATATGTAAAAAATCTCCAGTCAGTGTTAACTTACTCCTTCAATGTGTCCAATACTGTTATAGAAGCGGTAGTAGGACTGGAAATCAGGAGCGCCTCGGTACCACTTTGGGTCAATGTTTCTCTTAGGTCGAGAGTTAGTCAGGAAATCATGAGCCTTAGTAGAGTCAATGCTAACTGGAAGAACACAGAATCAAGGATTGCTATTTAAATTCCAATTGATAGCTTGTTCTCATCACTTAAACTTACTGTAAAACTGCTTCTTTTAGTTTTTCAATTGTTAGCATTAGCAGGGGCCTTTAAAGTTCCATAGAAATATAGGTACAAGAATCATGGATTATGTAACAGTTATATTAAGTTCAGGAAAGTTGAAATATCAACTTGTATTGCGATCTGCAAGAAGGTGGGTCAAATACCTGCAGGATTCTTTACTTTCATTAAAGATGTTGCTTCGAGCAAACCTAGAGGGAGGCAGAGAACATGTTAGACACCTCAAACAACACAGCACTTCACTCTGCAAAGCAATAAACAGCAACTTTGTCTTTAAATTCAACTTTATTAAATACATTCATTACAGGGAAATGTTAGTTCCAGATTTCCATTATTTCCCTTTCGTATTTTTTGTCCTTTTACATATTATTTATTTAAAATATTTTATCATTTATTGTTGTAATGTCTAGATATTCACTTGTTACATTTTCTGTGCTGTTGCTTCTGATCTGTAAAGCACTTTGAGCTGCACAATTGTATGAAAGGTACTATATTAATAAAGTTTGATTTGATTTGATTATAAAAGTTAAAGGAACTATGTTTCCTAATGTAAGAAAATAATGCAAAAATAAATTTAATTGTAAAACAAATAAACAAGATGCAGGAAAGAAAACAAAAATATCAAAAACAAAAACCTCTGGGGTCTGCTAAACAAACTGAGTACATTTGAATTGTCTAAATAATCTAATAGTTGTTGCCAATTTATAATTTTAAAGTTTAAAAATTTCAATAATATTCAAGTACATTTTAAAATTGGTATCTTTAAAAGTATAAGAGGGTAGTCTTTAAGCCAAATCATTTCGTGCATATAACATTTTGCTAAAATTATAATCAAACTATGCAATTTCCATCTGCCGAGAAATTAGGATGTTCAGCGTTTATTAGTGTGATATCTTTTTCGCCTTTTTGAAAAAGATTTCTCTGGCATGACGTGGCATGAAAACAATCTACAAACAACTAAAGGAGACACTCAATTATCTGTCATTTTGTTATAATACAGCCATCATTCAACTTTAACTGGCATAATTTTAACTCCTACATAAAGGTCAGATGACAGGAGAATAATTTTACTCAGACAAACCTGGCATCAACAGCACGTAGCAAAGCGCCCTCAACAGGGACACCTGTGAAATCATCCTCGACGTCTGCAACTGCAATGGCATGCAAAAGCGCAATTATTTTGCATTCTGTTTTACATCACTGCTGTTATTCACAAAACAGCTCTGCTTTTAAACTTGACTTGGCTAGTAGACAGTAACGGAAAACTGCTCACCTGTTGTTGCATCTCCTCAGTCCTGTTCTAATCTGCTGTGCAGCATAACTGTTCATAAATACTGCTGTTAATACTGGCACCTTTCTATTGGCCACTGAGCTGCAAGTAGGCCTAACTCCACCCCTCATGCATTTTTTGTTGAGACGTGGACGAGCTCATTAACACACGGAGCATGACCAGCAGTAAAGACCAACTTCAAACAAGATGGGACTCCTCGTAAAGCCACAAGTAGCAGTACTGTAACAACAGGGTACCTACTGGGTGCACAGGCAGTCCAGTATTCAGCTCTTTCTATGGGGTCATAGTCCTGGATGAATCAGTGGAGGTAGAATTCATGCATCCAAAAATGCATCCTCCTGAATCCATAGCATGGCGGCTTGTTTTAAGGACCAAATATGCAAAACATGGTGCCACGCACGGAGCTACTGTAGCCTAATTCTTGACAAAACATGCCTGGAAGGTAAAATTGACCCTCTGTCCCAAAACAGCTGGATATGTTCTTTTAACTTTGGTCTTGGCCAGTCAAAAAATAGGGGGCGAGCAGCGTCAACCACTGTTTAAGTCCCAAAGAAATATGCAGGAATTATGGGCTAGCTTGTCCAAACACCAGGTCACTGTAACACAGCCTGGGAAATTGGTG